ACGTGAGGATGCTTCTCAGCAGCAGGTCCTTGAAGGCTTGTAAAGGTGGAGGATACAATAAATGCAGAAATGGTTCACAGACAACAAGGTGAAGGTTCTGTAGCGGCCGAGTCGGAGCCGAGACCTCAGTCCAACTGAGAATATCCGGCTGGACTGAAAACGGCTATTTACTCATGATCCCTGTGTAATCTCACAAAGTTGGAGCAGTTTAGCCCAACAAAGAATAAAATAGGGGTAAATACTTGCATTTCCTGTTTTATATTTTTATCACATTACATTATTTTGTAGAACTCTGTTTTCAGTTTGACATAAAAAGAGACTTTTTTCTCTTTAAAGTAGAAAAAACGAATTAAATTGGTCATAATTTAATGTTAAAAAGCAACAAATGAGGTGAAAACATTTCAGACTTGATGGTTTCTCAATTAAATTAAAAAATCATCACTTCCTTAAAGTTGAATATCTGTTTACGGTCGTGCGTGTTGGCGTTTAACAGACGGGCCTTTAACATTTAAGGTGCTACTTAGGTTTTTTTTGACCTTTAAAATCTGCCAATCTGAGCAGATATCCCCACCGAGCGGCGCTCCTCGTGACGTCAGCGCTCTGCTTTATTGCGTGTAACTTCCCTTAAATGTCACGGCTCGTGTCGGCGCAGCGTTGGCGTCCTGAGGTGTCCGCCGGCCGATCCTCCGACCCCCTCCTGCTGATCGATACCGCCCCAGCTGACCGCTTCTATTCCTGGACGCCATCCCTGCAGAGTCAGCCCCCTTCCCCCCTCCCTGCCCTTCTTTTTTCCGTTGGCCTCGCCGGGACCAGAACGGCAAAGCGCCGGACGCTGCCAAAGGTCTGACGCACTCCAGAGGAAGGGACGGTGACGACACGCCACAATATGGCCGGTTCCGACGTGGAGCACAATTCCTGGGACGTCAGACAGATGACCAGCACTCGGTGGCAGATCAAGGACGTTTATGATTTATTTACAAGGCAGCCTGAGTAAAAAAGCTGAGTGACCCAAAAAAGAAAAGCAATGAGAACAGTGTATAAAAAGAGCCGGTCTGACCCACATCCTGATAAAATATGGGACGAAGTGGATAAAAAGACTCCGTTAATGTGACGGTGTTGTTTTTTTCTGCTTGGCTCGGACTGAAACAGCTTTAAAAGTTACTGCACACACACATTCACACACAGATGGACTTTCTGAGGATCTTCTGGAGCTGCTGGTCTTTGGTTTTGTTGCTTCATCTGGAACCTGAGAGAGAACAGAAGACAAAGAACGAAACATTTAGACTCATAAACATATAATCAGACTTTTTTTTTAACACAACATCCCAAAACGCACCGGCAGGATTGTACAGCGTGTTCTCTGCACAATCACACCATTTATCAGACCAAGAAAACCATAAAAAACAAGATGAATTATTGTGTTTTTGACTCTCTAACAATCCCTGAAGTAAGAATCTGTGACGCTCTGCAGAGAAAACGATCTTAAAAATGTGACAATCGTCCAAATCGCTTTATTCTACGTGTTGTATTTAAAATTCACCATAAAATAAACCATCTGCTCTGAACTGATTCTGTGAAAAACAAAAAATTCTGAACACCTCGATGCAACCGTGAAGCCGTTAACGTCTCGGCTGCAACCAACAGCCGAGTGGTGAAAATTAAAGAAGTTTTAATAAATCAAGAAAGTGAAGAAGAATTTGTTGATTTGCTGCTATTTGTAAATAAGCTTCCCGACATTTCCGCCGTATTTTTCCCCCAAAAATCTGTTTTTGTTTCAGCTCCAAAAGCCAGAAACTCCAACGTCTGATTGTGATTGTTCTGTAAAAATGCATCGTGCTGCCGTATGAAGTATTAAATGAGCCTCAGTCTGGTTTTTTGCAGCGGGTTGAAGAGATCAGGGCCGCAGCTCCTGAATAAAACACAAGAAGCAATTAGCTACAGAAGTCAGAAAATCACATTTATATATTATAAAGGTGAGAAAAACATACCGAAGAACTTCTGTTTTTATGCTTTGTTGTGGTTTATTGCGTTCTGGCTGCACTCAGGACATGTCTGAGCTCCGTAGAGGTGACTTTAAAACCAAAGAGTGGTTAAAAAGATAAAGATCAGCTGCTGCTCTGCTAAAGTTAAAGGATCCGCCTGTGGGACGTTTATCATCTAACACCAGGAATGGAACCGTGTTGATGTTTTAATTTGTGCGTTGATGATTTTGGACGGCGTCTGTGCTTCCAGAGGAGCGTCTTCTGCTCCATCTGCTGCCGCCTGAGCATCACTCAGCATTCAGTCGCTGCTCTCAGACTCTTTAAAAAACACCTGAGATATGCAAAGTCCGGCCCGAGCCGCCGCTTTGTTAAAGTGCCTCAGAATCACTCCAAGGACTCGGGCTGCAAAATGAACCTCGGACTGAAAACACTCGGAGCAGATATTCACGACGCGTCGCGCTCTCGGCAAGGAGAAGAAAAAAAAAAAGCTCCTCGGAGAGAAGAGGCGGCTTCACGCTCTGACTTCTGATGACGAGCTGCCTCATGTTTGGAAGGAAAACAGTTTATTGTGTGCAGATAGGAGCAGAAATGTGACGCCAACAACAAGCGCAGGACGACGTTAACGTACAAATAAAGTCACTCTAACAATATATATACATGTACATGTACAGCTGGAACCAGGAGTTTACATCCACTGGATAAAATGACATTAAACTTTTTATTCCTCACTGT